GTTATATCCTGATAAACCCGCTGTAAATTGAAAGTATCATTATGTTGAAAATGCATTTAATATTCCTAACCTACTGAACATTGCAGCTTAGTCTAGCCTAAGTTATATGTGCTCAGAACACTTACATTAGGCTACAGTTGGACAAAATGGCACAAAGCCAATAACAAAGTATTGAAAATCTCATGTAATTTATTGAATATTATACTGAAAGTGAAAAACAGAATGGTTATATAGGGACAACAGTTTTAGAGGTGTATTGGTTGTTTACCCTTGTGACAGCATGGCTGACTGGGAGCTGGGCTGCTTCTGCCCAGTATCATGAGAGTATTGTACAGCATACTGCTAGCCCAGAGAGGGAAAAAAATCAAAATTTCAAGTACAGTTTCTACTGAAGGAGTATCACTTTTGAACCATCATAATGTCAAAAAATCATAAAATTAACCATCAGAAGTCTGGGACTGCCTGCACCAAGCATCTCCTTCAATGACAACCAGTGACCTTAGCCATACAAAATACAGCAAGAAATACAGACTTAAACACTCTGCCAGAGGCACTTTATTACTAACACCCTTCCCTTTCCTATACTTACTCTACATATATTTCTCTAAGAAGCTGGTTATCTAGCTTCCCTTAGGTAATTAATTAGATGCAGAACCATAAGAAAAAATTCAAGGGAGCAAAAGAATACAAGGTGGACCTTCTTCCCATCCCCTTTTCCAGTCTGTTGTTTCAGGTCTAGGGACTGGGAAACAGCACTCTGAAAGCATGGAGTCAAAAGACAATCTGGCACCAATCCAGTTTACCACATATTTATTGATAACCTACTGAGTACTATGCACTATAGAAGGTACTAGAAATGTAAACATAAAAACACAAAGTCCTACCTTTTAGGTAGGAAGGTACTTACAGTCCACTGGAGGTTATGGTAGATAGGGATGGATAGTAAATTACAATGCAGCGTGTTAGAAGTTTGAAAACTAAAAGCAGTACAACAGAAGGATTTGGGGACTCAGGAAAGGTTTCATTTAAAAAGTGACACCAGAGCAGAGTTCTGAAGAAGAAGTTTGTCAAGCAACAGAGAAGTGGTAGTAAAAATACTCCTACAAAAACACATGCATGAAAGCAAAAAAAAAAAGGAAAACTTTCAGGGTAGCAAATATGTCCAAAATATCTAGCTATATCTAAACAGACTTAGACCCCAAGTAAGCATATAGAAAATATTATAGTGTATCCAGAAAAGGGAAATTTTTTTCTCCTATATAACTTATTTTATATTTCCATATTATATAAGCTATGAGATGTTACCAAAAAACAAACACTATAAACCATTTTATTATTTCATAATGGAGCATACCTCCAAGTGATATGCCAAGAACAAGCTGTCAGAAAAACATAATAGGGAATTCTTTTTCCAGGTCATCCCTAAAGTACAGACAAAGTAAATAAATGAACAAGCCATATCAGCATGGCCTGTCATAGAGAGGAGTTTTAAGAATTTAAAATAAAAGATGCCAAACAGAAAAACTAAAGCAACAAGAAAAAATATACATAGTATTTAAATTGAAGATGGAAAGGTTCAATGAAGAAAACCAAGGTAAAGGTTCTAATTTTAAAACCTGAAAACTCAGGGCGCCTGGGTGGCTCAGTTGGTTAAGCGACTGCCATGGGCTCAAGTCATGATCCTGGAGTCCCAGGGTGGAGTCCCACATCGGGCTCCCTGCTCAGTAGGGAGTCTGCTTCTCCCTCTGACCCTCGCCCCTCTTATGCTCTCTCAAATAAATAAATAAAATCTTTAAAAATAAATAAAAAATAAAACCTGAAAACTCTAATGTCCATTCTATTTCTTTTGAAAGACAGACTTTCTGTAACAGACACCAATTTTATAGCTCTTTCAAAATATCTAGTGAAAGTCACAACGTTAAGTATCACAGGTAGAAATTATCCTTAGTAAGGCAGAATGATCACCTGTATCATCAACCTGAATGATTCCTATCACAGCACTAGATCCCTTGATATCAATATTGTATGTAATTATATTCAAAAATTACAGTGCAACTCAAATTAACTCTGTAAAACTGCCCTACCTGGTACCCTGGTTTCTTTTGATTCTTTGTATTACAAACTCCACCAGAGGTCTAGGTAACAAACAAAATCTTATTCAGTAGTATCTTTTCCTAAGACTGTATCACTATTTGCATAAGCTGTCCTCACTGCCTATTCAAGAGTAAGCACATGGAAAGTTTGCTTTTAAATATGTAATAATAGAACAAATTTTATAGTTAAAAATTTCAACATAATTTAAAAATACTATTTATCACTGCTTTTAAGGAGCAAAAAACAAACTTATTTTTACTAGTCTATTAATGTCTACCATTATTTCATAGATATAGATGTGAAGCATGCCTCTCTACTTTTCTATAGTATCAGAAAATCTTATGAAGCAAAATTTGTCACTGAACAGGGCAAAATTATAACTTCCCATGGGTTGTGAAAAATTCTCTAAGAGTCTTCTAAGATACAAGTACCTTCAATAACATTATCTACCAAAGAGATAAGAACCAAAACAACTAGGTTAGAGGCACTTCTAATGAAATCTACTCATAAATCTGAAGTACTTATTTTCTTATGAACAAAGAGAAATTTCAGGTTATAACTAAGTTAAAGTATCTCTGAAAAACCAAAAAGTAAATTAAACATCCAAATTATTAAGTAAAAATATAGGTAATTATTTCTCTTGAGGAGGAATATCATTCTGAGTTTTATTTTATCTTCAAGATCAAATACCTCTCAAACGAAGGGGATATAAATACACTCTTACATTTTGCCCTAATTTTTCCACCACATAAATTTACTTTAAAACGGAAGTATTACAGAAACTGAGAATTTTTTACAGGCTGTATTTGTTGCTTGGTTAAGCATACAGGCAATTCTCATTCCCCAAGAGTATCAGATTAGGTTACAGATATCTCTATACAGTATACTTAGAATAAAAGGGTTCTGCTTACGATAATTTATTTTTATTGATGCAACATTAATCAGGATGCAAAAAGTATGAGTTTTTCAAATACTGTCTAAATTACGAAGTATGCAAAGAGTCACTGCAATTCACTGCCCTTAGAAAAAAAATGAGAAAAGTACCTTTTTAAAATTAAATGAGACTCTTACAAAGTCAAGAAAGTGGAACAGTTTTGTCTTTTATTACATATATAGTTATTTTTCCTTTAGATTTATTATCACAAACTAAAGAGGAGTTCAACATACAAAGCCTACTAAAGATCCTGGTCCATTAAGCAGTATTTCAATGAAAATATCTGAATGAAGACATCTAATCATTTCAATGTAGACATTTTAACCATTTCAGTCCACTGTGACTCTGAATCAACCCTTTAAATCTGGGATGAAGTTATCTTCCAAAATTGCCAAAGATATGTGTTCACTGACGTTTAAGAAATAACTGCTGTCAAATATACTAAGTATTCCCAAACAGTTCAACTTAAACCCAGTATGTAAATAGATATTTTGAAATTTCTCCCCAACACCCCACACTTTATTTCCACTTATGTTATTTCAAGGCAAATCCAAAGTTACACTTAACGATTCTAGAGGTCTAGAAATTCCTAATACCAAGCATGACAGGAAATATGTTCAACTTTGAACTCGAATAAATTCAAGTACAGCCTCCCTCGTGAACAGATTTTAACTCAGTACTTTCTACCATTTCTCCAAGAACGTAAAAGTTGGTATCAATGTACTTAATTATTAGAATAGGTCCAGAAGATTAAGAAAGGAGTTAAGATTCTTTGACCAAAAGTTCTATGAAAATGAAACAATGTGTTGCATTCGGTCTCCTGGATGTTTGGAAAGTGAAGGCCTCTACTAGGATTCAAAGGAAGTTGATGTTTAGGTTCCTTCAGAGAGGGTGGTAACCGTATGTAAGACTTTTGTGGTGGTTAATACCACATCCAAAGGGGCTGAAATAAACGCAAATTCTAAAACCTTGGAAGTGCTTTTATAAAAGAAAACTAGAATCCTCATTCGCTGAGGACTAACAGTTAACAAGAGTCAGAGGCTTTCTCTCCTAGATGGACAACAGCCTCAACTTAAAACTAGGAGGGCCTCCTTCAACCCCACTCATTTCTTCCGTAAAACTTTTAAGTTAGACCCAAGACAGCACAAGGTGGAGAGGCCCCGGCGGAAGTAGAAACCTAGGACTAGCAACTTCACAAACAGAAGCGTCTCGGGTTCCTCCGCCGCCCCAGGACTATCCCGTCTCAGTCTCTATCACTCCACGCAAGCTTCACCCTCCGGGTGCGGTGGCAGAAAAAGCATTACAGTTCCACTCCTCATTCCACCAACCATACCCTTTGGTATCCTAGGGCCTGGGGGCTCCTGAGGCCCGTTAGCCAGTCCCGTGTCCCCCCCCACCCCATCTATTACACATACACACACACACACACACAGGTTGCAGGTGATGTGGGTGTACTGAGAAAATGTGAACAGCCAGAGACCGCGGCAGCTGCTGGGAACGCGGCAGCCCTGTCTAAAGCGGACCCGGGCTCCTCGGCCACCGCTGCTGCCGCCTTCCCTTCCTCCCCAGGAAGCAGCGCGGCGGCGGCGGCTCCTCCGCGCTGGCGGGAGCCCGGCGGAGCAGAGTCTAGAGAAGCCTCAGCTCCCGCCGAAGGGACCAGGCCTAGGATCCAGGGCTGCCGCTGCAGCCACCCAAGTACAGCGACGCTTTACGTCCCGTCCACCACCCTCCCCATACACACCCCCTCCCTCCTCCACCGCCGCCACCCCCCCTCCCCGCCCGCTCCGCTCTCCCTCTCTCGATTGGAGCCGAGACAAAAGCAACGGGAAGCGGCGGGCCAGGACGCTGCCCGCGGACCCCGGGCGCGGCCGGACCGGCCCCGAGGCATTCCCCAGCCTTGAGGGGGCCCCGAATCCGCCGCCCCCGCCGCGCGCCCCGCTGCCAGACTTCCGAAAATTTGCCAAAAACTCACCGCATGAATTTTCTTGTCCCGCGGATCCAAGATGGCGACGTATCCACCGCGGAGGCTGCTGGGAGCAAGACCTTTACCCTCTGACCCCCGCCGTGACCCCCGCCGTTCCGACTTCACTCAAGGCGGCGGCGGAAGGTGGGAGCGGCGATTGCGGACGGGACAGGGTTGGGGGTGGGTAGACCGCTTCCCGCGCGTTCAAGAAGAGGTGGGGAGAGGCGCTTCACTCCCTCACCTTTTTCGCCGCGGCTTCCAGCATGTCTCCCACCAACTCACCGGGAGGCGCGTAGCCTCTTCGTAGCCGTTATAACGAGCAGGGCCTCTGCGGCCGCTACAGTTCTCCTGGGGACGGGTTGCTCTGCACTGAGCACGGGCCCTGGGTCCGTCGCGGGCCGCGGGGTCCAGGGGCGGGGAATGGTGAGGTGGCGTCGGCCCGCCCTCCTTGGGGACGCGGAGCGTGTTTGTGTTTGTGTTCGTGTCGGACACCACGCCCCTCCCACGTCCGCCTGGAAGGGTCCCCACACCCACCCCACCCCCGACTCCCACCACCTGAAGCAAAACTGATCGCTGTCCCTTTTTCTCCCTCAGCCCCCGCAACCTCCGGTGCTTGTGCACGCATTTCCAGGGACTGGAAGCACGTCACCATCATCTCCTGAGAAGTGAGTTCCCCTCTGCTGAAACCGTTGGTATTTTCTACTCACCACCCTTCCTTTTTTTTTTTTTTTTTAAATTTGGTGGGAGGGAGCTTATTGGGGAGCAAGTTTTTAAAGCACTATCGAATGAGCTTGCGCTAGCCGAGTTAAATTTATAGCACTTTCTCTCGCTCCTACTCCCCAGTCCCCACCTGAGCTTCAGTGACCGGCTGGTCTGTAAGCAAGACTCTGAAATTATGGTGGCTTTGGTGGAAACTTCAGGAGAGTGAAGTCTCTTTTGAAGAAAAACAATTGTCACTCAGAATTAAATTTATGTTCTTTGAAACAATCTCTTTGTATTCCTTTGTTCTCGGTAAACGCTTTCCTTTTTGTTACTATTCGACATTTTTGGACTTAAAAAGAGTCTCTGCATGTGTGTTTTGGAATTGTGTAGTTTCATAAAGTGAGTTGTTATTTTTTTCTATTTGAATGATAGAACTTAAGAATGTAAAGTACAAGCCATTTGGAGTAAATAAAATTTCTACTTCCTTGGTTTCTTTTATACAATCACTTTTTCCTTCCAAATAAAACTCATTGTAATCCAATTTAAAATTTATGATTGAAGGGCAGAGGGCATCTGTCAGTCTTAAATAGCAGGAAAAATAAGCGTATTATAAAATGAAAGGTGACTTTGTTATGTTTACGGAATGCAAGGTATTTTTACATATTAGTAAATGCTGTGTGAATTAATTTAAACTCTGAATGGTGCTGATGTAGCCAGTAGAAAATATTTTGCCTGATTATTCATTTCATTAAACATTCTGCTTCACTGTTTTTTACTTCAGGAAAATTCAAGGAGGAACAACATCTCTTTATGTCCTTTCCTCCCCTACCCCTAATAGTTCCTTCCTGCCTCTTCAGCATTCTCTTCTACTCTGTAACATGGTGTGTTAGAAGACTGAATATGCCTCTAAGTATTTGTAATCCAGCTTCATCCTGTTCTTACCCTTCTCATTGTTTTCTTTCTATTTCTGTCATGTACCAAGCTCTTTCCGGGCTGTAGCAGAGACTGTTAGTTGTCCCTAAAATTTCTCCATTTTTTTAATACTAATAGACATGGACACGTGGCTGTCCAGAGTAAAGACTATTTTCCACCCTCTCTGTAGCCATGTGGTAGTTCTGGCCAATGTGATATAAGCAGATATGTCATGTGGCACCCCTTTAATACCATCCTTAGAATACAATTGGTGCACACCTTCAGTCCTTTGTTTCTTTTCCTCTTAATATCCTGCATCCTGGAATATGGATGTGATAGCCTGGAACTCTGTCAGTTTGGGCTCTAGGCAAAATCTTAAGCTGGTGGAAACCTGGGTCCTTGAGCCCCTTGTGGAGCACCCATACCAGCCCTACACTCCACGTTCAAATTTTGAGGTGAGGGAAAAGTAAACTTCTATCTTATTAAAGCCACTCTTTAGGGTCTCTTGTTCTCAATTGAATTTAATCTTAACTGGTACTCCATCTCAGGACCTTTGCACTTGCTTTTTTTTTCTGCCTGGGATATGCTTTCTCTATGTCTGTATGGCTAACTCATTCTCATCCTTCAGGTCTTAACTCAGAAATCATCTCTGACAGGCCTTCCCTGGCCACCATATTTAAAGTAGCTCCTTTTCCCATTTATTGTGTTTTTTAATAGCATTCGTAATTTATCATTATTTTATTGTTTATTATATGACTCCTTTCATCCTACTAAAAATTTAAGTTACATGAGAGCAGGGACTACATTTGTTTTGCTCACTGCATTATTCTCCACACATAGTAGACGTTAGCTAAGTCATGTTAAATGAATGAGACAGTGAATAAATAAACCAATGAATGGATGAAGTAGATTCTTATCTAAGATTAGGTAATCTTTTTTTTTCTTTTTAAATATCTTGAAAGGTTTCCTTTACATAATGTGTAAAATCCAAGCTAGGAAGCAGCTAGGAAAAATAGTGCTAAACTAATGGAATATGTTAGCTTCCAATCCTGGATGATAAAGATGTATACTTTTTTCTGGGAAATTGATAAGACTATTACACGAAAAACAGCTTAATTGGTTCGGCATACTTGGCAAATCAGAAGAGTAGTCAATATCACATCTGGGACAGAAATTTCCACTATGTAGTGGTCTGATTTATTATGTACCTTACTGGACCTCAGATTCTTCATCTAAAATGTAGGTAAGAGGAGTGCCTGGGTGGCTTGGTTGGGCATCCAGTTCTTAATATCGGCTCACGTCGTGATCTCAGGATTGTGAGAAATAGCCCTGTGTCAGGATCCATGCTCGGTGGGGAATCTGCTTGAATTTCTCTCCCTCTGCCCCTCCTCCCACTCGCGCACACACTCTCTCTCTCTCTCTAAAATAAATAAATCTTAAAAAAATAAAAATAAAATGTAGATAAAAATCTTAAGCTTTGAATGGTAATATAAAAGTTTAATAGTCTGACTTATGAGTGACATATGTGTTATACATTACTTTGGTCATCAGGTGTTATTTTAACAAGTGATTATGTCTTGATAATACTGGCAAGGATTCAGAGAAACAGCGCTTCTTAAGTGTCTGAGAATATAAATCCCCACACTTCAAGAGTGCAGTTCGACAGTATGTATCAGAAGCCTGGAGCATGTGCATTGACCCTGAAATTCCTCTTCTAGAAATGTATCATAAGGAAATAAGAATATATGTAACAATTTTATTTGCAAGAGTATTCTTTATTGCATTGTTTATGAGGGTATTGGTTAAATAAGTTAAGCTACATACATACAATGGAACAGTATTCAGCCATTAAGAAGGATGTGGAGGAAGGGCACCAGGCTGGCTCAATCCAGAGAGCATATGACTCTTGATCTCAGGGTCGTGAGTTCGAACCCCACATTGGATATAGAGATTACTTAAATAAAACTTCGAAAAAATGTGGGGGAAATTTTATTGACATGCTATATTAAGTGTGAAGATAAAATTTAAAATGTAGAGTTAACCTTTGAATAATTCAGTGGATCGGGTGCCTAACCTCCCTCCCCTACGTAGTCAAAAACTAATAATGTACTATCGACTAGAAACCTTACTGATGATATAAACAGTTAACACATATTTTGTATGTTATATGCTTTATGTATTGTATTATAACAAAGCAAGCTAGGGAAAAATATTAAGAAAATCATAAGGAAAATACATTTACGGTATTGTACTATATTTGATGAAAAAAATCTGTGTATAAGTGGACCCATGTAGTTCAAACCTGTGTTCTTCAAGGGTCAACTGTAATTCCAGTTTTGTAAAAATTTCTAAGTCTCCCAAAGATCTAACATGATATGCACAAAGGGTTATTCAGCCTTGCAGAAGTATTTTTATTTACAGCTATTTTTATTTCATTATTTCTATTTAATAGTTTTTTAATTTCCATAGAATAAAAATTGTGTATAATACTAATTAAATGGCTACTTCTCTTTTTATAGAAACAAGTGGATAATTTGGGGCAATAGTACTCATTTGCCAAGCCTGATGTCTTTTATTCTTTCTTCTGCCCTATGCCCCACAAATAATTACCAGTTCTTGTGTATATTACCTTCTAATTAAAACATAGTAATAGCAACAGATACAGCAGACACTTAAGATTCATTACATGCCAGGCACTGTTGTAAGCATTTTACCTATATTAACTCCTGAAATTCTTGCAACTACTTTATGTGCTAGAAACTGCTAAAATCTGTAGTACAAACTAATCAGATCAGAAAAAAAAAAAGGACTGGTGTATCAGGGATAATTTCACCAAGTGGCTGTTTAAATTCCATGTTGAATGACTGGTTAGATGTGGATGAAAGGAAGGGACGTTTTCAGTGAGGGGAATAACATGAGCAAAGGCAGATTGTATTTCCTAAGGCCACCATACAAAGTACCACAGACTGGGTGTCTTAAACAACAAATTCATTTCCGCACAGTTGTGGAAGCTAGAAGTCTAAGACACAGTTGCTTTCTCCCCAAGGGCCTCTGTCCTTGGCTTATAGATGGTTCTGTTCATAAGCTTACATGGTATTCTCCCTGTATGTGAGTTTGTTTCCAGCTTTCCCCTTCTTATGAGAACACCAGTCATATTGGCTTAGGGCATACTCATATGACTTCATTTAACATTAATTATCTTTTTAAAGCTCCTATCTCCAAATACAATCACATTCTGAGGTAGTGCAAATTAGTACCTCATAAATTTTGGGGGAACACAACACAATTCGGGCCAGCTCAGAAACAGAAATGAGCATGGGCCAGGAACTAGAACCAGACTAAGATAAGCAGAAGGAGGCTAGTGGAATTTATGTAGAATAAGGTGGCAGATTTTGGAGTGTTTTAAAATGCAGAATGTAGAAATGTTGATAGTTGGTTTTTAATAAGTCACTGCTAATCAATCCATTCCCAAGGTTTAGTTAGCACCAAAAAGGAAAAAAAAAATAAGGGCACCTGGGTGGTGCAGTCGGTTGGGCATCTGACGCTTGGTTTCAGCTCAGGTTGTGATCTCAGGGTCATAGGATCATGGAATCTAGCCGCACGCTGGGCTCCATGCTCAATGCAGAGTCTGCTTAGTTTCTCTCTCTGCCCCTCCACACTGTGTTTACAAGCAGGTGCGCACACGCTGTCTCTCTCTCTCTCAAATTTTTTTTTAAGTCAAATAGAATTATTTGTAGTATATCTTTTATTATACCCACTTTTATCACCTAACACCACCACTGTCATCTTGCAAAGATAATTACTTTAAATGATCTATGAATCAAAAAAATATCTATGAATCATCTCTAAGTTAACATGATGTAGGGGTGCC